TCATGTAATCCTTGCTTGTCTCCCGTTATGACTCGGGGACATCATTGGTCCCTGTAACCCTTGCTTGTCTCCCGTTGTGACGCGGGGATATGATTGGTCCCCGTAATCCTTGCTTGTCTCCCGTTGTCACTCGGGGACATAATTGCTCCCCGTAACCCTTGCTTGTCTCCCGTTGTCACTCGGGATCATCATTGGTCCCCGTAACCCTTGCTTGTCTCCCGTTGTGACTCGGGGACATCATTGGTCCCTATAACCCTTGCTTGTCTCCCGTTGTGACGCGGGGATATGATTGGTCCCCATAATCCTTGCTTGTCTCCCGTTGTCACTCGGGGACATAATTGCTCCCCGTAACCCTTGCTTGTCTCCCGTTGTCACTCGGGGTCATCATTGGTCCCCGTAACCCTTGCTTGTCTCCCGTTGTGACTCGGGGACAACATTGGTCCCTATAACCCTTTTCTTGTCTCCCGTTGTGACTCGGGGGCATCATTGGTCCCTGTAACCCTTGCTTGTCTACCGTTGTGACTCAGGGACATCATTGGTCCCTGTAACCCTTGTCTTGTCTCCCGTTGTGCCTCGGGGGCATCATTGGTCCCTGTAACCCTTGCTTGTCTACCGTTGTGACTCGGGGGCATCATTGGTCCCTGTAACCCTTGCTTGTCTCCCGTTGTGACGCGGGGATATGATTGGTCCCTGTAACCCTTGCTTGTCTCCCGTTGTCACTCGGGGGCATCATTGGTCCCTGTAACCCTTGCTTGTCTCCCGTTGTGACTCGGGGGCATCATTGGTCCCTGTAACCCTTGCTTGTCTCCCGTTGTGACTCAGGGGCATCATTGGTCCTTGTAACCCTTGCTTGTCTCCCGGTGTGACGCGAGGATATGATTGGTCCATGTAATCCTTGCTAGTCTCCCGTTGTCACTCGGGGACATCATTGGTCCCTGTAATCCTTGCTTGTCTCCCGTTGTCACTCGGGGACATCATTAGGCCCTGTAACCCTTGTCTTGTCTCCCGTTGTCACTCGGGGGCATCATTGGTCCCTGTAACCCTTGCTTGTCTCCCGTTGTCACTCGGGGGCATCATTGGTCCCTGTAACCCTTGCTTGTCTCCCGTTGTGACTCGGGGGCATCATTGGTCCCTGTAACCCTTGCTTGTCTCCCGTTGTCGCTCGGGGGCATCATTGGTCCCTGTAACCCTTGCTTGTCTCCCGTTGTGACTCAGGGATATAATTGGTCATGTAATCCTTGCTTGTCTCCCGTTGTGACTCGGGGACATCATTGGTCCCTGTAACCCTTGCTTGTCTCCCGTTGTGACGCGGGGATATGATTGGTCCCTGTAACCCATGCTTGTCTCCCGTTGTGACTCGGGGACATCATTGGTCCCTCTTACACTTGCTTGTCTCCCGTTGTGACTCGGGGACATCATTGGTCCCTGTAACCCTTGCTTGTCTCCCGTTGTGCCTCGGGGACATAATTGCTCCCTGTAACCCTTGCTTGTCTCCCGTTCCGACTCGGGGGCATCATTGGTCCCTGTAACCCTTGCTTGTCTCCCGTTGTGACTCGGGGACAACATTGGTCCCTGTAACCCTTGCTTGTCTCCCGTTGTGACTCGGGGACAACATTGGTCCCTGTAACCCTTGCTTGTCTCCCGTTGTGACTCAGGGGCATCATTGGTCCTTGTAACCCTTGCTTGTCTCCCGGTGTGACGCGAGGATATGATTGGTCCATGTAATCCTTGCTAGTCTCCCGTTGTCACTCGGGGACATCATTGGTCCCTGTAATCCTTGCTTGTCTCCCGTTGTCACTCGGGGACATCATTAGGCCCTGTAACCCTTGTCTTGTCTCCCGTTGTCACTCGGGGGCATCATTGGTCCCTGTAACCCTTGCTTGTCTCCCGTTGTGACTCAGGGATATAATTGGTCATGTAATCCTTGCTTGTCTCCCGTTGTGACTCGGGGACATCATTGGTCCCTGTAACCCTTGCTTGTCTCCCGTTGTGACGCGGGGATATGATTGGTCCCCGTAATCCTTGCTTGTCTCCCGTTGTCACTCGGGGACATAATTGCTCCCCGTAACCCTTGCTTGTCTCCCGTTGTCACTCGGGGTCATCATTGGTCCCCGTAACCCTTGCTTGTCTCCCGTTGTGACTCGGGGACAACATTGGTCCCTATAACCCTTTTCTTGTCTCCCGTTGTGACTCGGGGGCATCATTGGTCCCTGTAACCCTTGCTTGTCTACCGTTGTGACTCGGGGACATCATTGGTCCCTGTAACCCTTGTCTTGTCTCCCGTTGTGCCTCGGGGGCATCATTGGTCCCTGTAACCCTTGCTTGTCTACCGTTGTGACTCGGGGGCATCATTGGTCCCTGTAACCCTTGCTTGTCTCCCGTTGTGACGCGGGGATATGATTGGTCCCTGTAACCCTTGCTTGTCTCCCGTTGTCACTCGGGGGCATCATTGGTCCCTGTAACCCTTGCTTGTCTCCCGTTGTCACTCGGGGGCATCATTGGTCCCTGTAACCCTTGCTTGTCTCCCGTTGTGACTCAGGGGCATCATTGGTCCCTGTAACCCTTGCTTGTCTCCCGTTGTGACGCGGGGATATGATTGGTCCCTGTAACCCTTGCTTGTCTCCCGTTGTCACTCGGGGGCATCATTGGTCCCTGTAACCCTTGCTTGTCTCCCGTTGTGACTCGGGGGCATCATTGGTCCCTGTAACCCTTGCTTGTCTCCCGTTGTGACGCGGGGATATGATTGGTCCCTGTAACCCATGCTTGTCTCCCGTTGTGACTCGGGGACATCATTGGTCCCTCTTACACTTGCTTGTCTCCCGTTGTGACTCGGGGACATCATTGGTCCCTGTAACCCTTGCTTGTCTCCCGTTGTGCCTCGGGGACATAATTGCTCCCTGTAACCCTTGCTTGTCTCCCGTTGTGACTCGGGGGCATCATTGGTCCCTGTAACCCTTGCTTGTCTCCCGTTGTGACTCGGGGACAACATTGGTCCCTGTAACCCTTGCTTGTCTCCCGTTGTGACTCGGGGACAACATTGGTCCCTGTAACCCTTGCTTGTCTCCCGTTGTGACTCAGGGGCATCATTGGTCCTTGTAACCCTTGCTTGTCTCCCGGTGTGACGCGAGGATATGATTGGTCCATGTAATCCTTGCTTGTCTCCCGTTGTCACTCGGGGACATCATTGGTCCCTGTAACCCTTGCTTGTCTCCCGTTGTCACTCGGGGACATCATTAGGCCCTGTAACCCTTGTCTTGTCTCCCGTTGTCACTCGGGGGCATCATTGGTCCCTGTAACCCTTGCTTGTCTCCCGTTGTGACTCAGGGATATAATTGGTCATGTAATCCTTGCTTGTCTCCCGTTGTGACTCGGGGACATCATTGGTCCCTGTAACCCTTGCTTGTCTCCCGTTGTGACGCGGGGATATGATTGGTCCCCGTAATCCTTGCTTGTCTCCCGTTGTCACTCGGGGACATAATTGCTCCCCGTAACCCTTGCTTGTCTCCCGTTGTGACTCGGGGACAACATTGGTCCCTGTAACCCTTGCTTGTCTCCCGTTGAGACTCGGGGACAACATTGGTCCCTGTAACCCTTGCTTGTCTCCCGTTGTCACTCAGGGACATCATTGGCCCCTGTAACCCTTGCTTGTCTCCCGTTGTGACTCGGGAGCATCATTGGTCCCTGTAACCGTTGTCTTGTCTCCCGTTGTGCCTCGGGGGCATCATTGGTCCCTGTAACCCTTGCTTGTCTCCCGTTGTGACTCGGGGACATCATTGGTCCCTGTAACCCTTGTTTGTCTCCCGTTGTCACTCTGGGACATCATTGGTCCCTGTAACCCTTGCTTGTCTCCCGTTGTCACTCGGGGGCAACATTGGTCCCTGTAACCCTTGTCTTGTCTCCCGTTGTGACTTGGGAGCATCATTGGTCCCTGTAACCCTTGTCTTGTCTCCCGTTGTGACTCGGGGACATCATTGGTCCCTGTAACCCTTGTCTTGTCTCCCGTTGTGACTCGGGGGCATCATTGGTCCCTGTAACCCTTGCTTGTCTACCGTTGTGACTCGGGGGCATCATTGGTCCCTGTGACCCTTGCTTGTCTCCCGTTGTGACGCGGGGATATGATTGGTCCCTGTAACCCTTGCTTGTCTCCCGTTGTGACTCGGGGGCATCATTGGTCCCTGTAACCCTTGCTTGTCTCCCGTTGTGACTCAGGGGCATCATTGGTCCCTGTAACCCTTGCTTGTCTCCCGTTGTGACGCGGGGATATGATTGGTCCCTGTAACCCTTGCTTGTCTCCCGTTGTGACTCGGGGACATCATTGGTCCCTGTAACCCTTGCTTGTCTCCCGTTGTGACTCGGGGGCATCATTGATCCCTGTAACCCTTGCTTGTCTCCCGGTGTGACGCGGGGATATGATTGGTCCCTGTAATCCTTGCTTGTCTCCCGTTGTCACTCGGGGATATGATTGGTCCCTGTAACCCATGCTTGTCTCCCGTTGTGACTCGGGGACATCATTGGTCCCTCTTACACTTGCTTGTCTCCCGTTGTGACTCAGGGATATAATTGGTCATGTAATCCTTGCTTGTCTCCCGTTGTGACTCGGGGACATCATTGGTCCCTGTAACCCTTGCTTGTCTCCCGTTGTGACGCGGGGATATGATTGGTCCCTGTAACCCATGCTTGTCTCCCGTTGTGACTCGGGGACATCATTGGTCCCTGTTACACTTGCTTGTCTCCCGTTGTGACTCGGGGTCATCATTAGTCCCTGTAACCCATATTTTTTTGTATTTTCCAAAAATAATTTTAATGTTACGACTGCAGAGGTAGAATAGATTCAATCGAAAACAAAATGTATTAGGCCAGCATGCATTGGCTGAAAGTTGGCACCAGTGAAGCAGCAGGCCGGTGGGTGCCTTGCACGACATGTGAGCTGGTGAGAAACGGATTAGTCATTTACATAAACGACTGATTCCATGTATTTATTTTATGCTCATTATGTACAGCGGATCTTGACACAAAGCTCGGTGGTTCTCAAAGGGAGGAATGAACATGGAGCCAGATTTGGAACTTCCATCAGTAACCTTGGAGACATCAACGGTGACGGTTATAAGGGTAAGTTTGGGATTGCCATCAGTAATCTTAGAACATTAACGGTGACGGTTATAAGGGTAAGTTTGGTAATGGGAACAGTAACCTTGGAGACATTAACGGTGACGGCTATACGGGTAAGTTTGGGAATGCCATCAATAACATTGGAGACATCAACGGTGACGGTTATACGGGTTAGTTTGGGAATGCCATCGGTAACCTTGGAGACATCAACGGTGACGGTTATACGGCTAAGTTTGGTAATGGGAACAGTAACCTTGGAGACGTCAACGGTGACGGTTATACGGCTAAGTTTGGGAATGCCATCAGTAACCTTGGAGACATCAACGGTGACGGTTATACGGGTAAGTTTGGGAATGTCATCAGTAACCTTGGAGACATCAACGGTGACGGTTATACAGCTAAGTTTGGTAATGGGAACAGTAACCTTGGATACGTCAACGGGAACGGTTATACGGGTAAGTTTGGGAATGCCATCAGTAACCTTGGATAGTTCAACGGTGACGGTTATACGGGTAAGTTTGGGAATGCCATCAGTAACCTTGGATACGTCAACGGTGACGGTTATACGGGTAAGTTTGGGAATGCCATCAGTAACCTTGGATACGTCAATGGTGACGGTTATACGGGTAAGTTTGGGAATGCCATCAGTAACCTTGGATACGTCAACGGTGACGGTTATAAGGGCAAGTTTGGGAATGCGATACCCTGCATACATCAGGGGTGATGTCTGTACAAGTGAGATTGAAACTGTCATCGGTGACCTTGGCGACATAATTGGTGGCCGTTATCCAAGTGAGGCTGGGACTGGCATCTCTCTCACATATATATGTTGTTATCATCTTCCAGATGTGGCCCCCTCCATGGTCTTGTGGTAGAGCGTCCGCCCGGAGAGCGGAAGGTCAGGGGTTCGATCCCCGGCTGCGTCACACCAAAAGACGTTAAAAGATTGTACTTGTTGTACCTAGCGCTCGGCATTGAGAACAAGGACTGGTCGGCTGGATGTTAGTTTACTGTGTCTGAGTGGGGTATTCATGTTACACTGCGGCATGGTATCTCAGTGGACTAGCTACTCGGCATCAGTCGGATATAGTACACACTAACACGTCACTACATAAGTGCAATAATCTTGGACGCGACGTTAAACCCCATTTCACCTCACCTCACCTCACCTCTTTCAGATGTGGCAGTGGGAGCCCCGTATGAGGATGGAGGTCATGGGGCGATATACATCTACCATGGAGGGGAAGGGGGGCTGAACGCGGAGGTGAAGCAGAGAGTAGGAGGCCGCGACATCAACGACACCGAGACAGTGACGTCTTTTGGATGGAGCATCTCCAAGCCTGCTGACGTGGACGGCAATAATTATCCGGGTATGTTCACATGTGTATAACAGTGTCATGTGTGGGAATTAAGTTGTGCCCCCAACGGTATCCAGGTATACTTCAATACACAGTATTATGTCAAATATTGTAATCAGGCAAGGCCACTTTCAACCAAACTCAAAGTGAATGAGCAAGTTGAATTTTTTCGCAATATCAAGGCAGGGGACGTCAGCAATAGGCTCTCTATACTGCTCCCCTGTGGGGGATCGAAAACGGATCTGTTGCGTGACGAGCGAACGCTTTAACCACTAGGATATCCCCACGCCCCAACGACTTCGATAGACGTTCCTTTAACAGGTTAAAACATCAGTCGAGAACAGTTGTTTCAGTTTGGAAAAGTCAGTCACAGAGGTGTGTAAACTTGTTTCTGAAAATATTGCTTTCCAAAATTGCGTTTCGACTTGAGTGTGTCATTGGCTATGGCAATATTATGACCAACATTTGTTTTTAACAGGTTTCATGAGATTGAACAGAGCAACTGATTTGGCCTTCGATCTTATACAGTTGGATATAGTCCTGTTGGTGTTTTACTCATAAATGTAGTCCCGTGTAGTGTCATACAGTGGGATATAGTCCCTTGTAGTGTCATACAGATCGAAGTGTAGTGCTTACAGTGGGATGTAGTCCTGTGTAGTGTCAAGCATATGCGGATATAGTCCCGTATATTGTCATACAGTGGGATATATTCCCGTATAGTGTCATACAGTGGGATATGGTCCCGTGTAGTGTCATACAGTGGGATATAGTCCCGTGTAGTGTCATACAGTGTGATGTAGTCCCGTGTAGTGTCATACAGTGGGAGAAAGTCCCGTGTAGTGTTATACAGTGGGATATAGTCCCTTGTAGTGTCATACAGTGTGATGTAGTCCCGTGTAGTGTCATACAGTGTGATGTAGTCCCGTGTAGTGTCATACAGTGTGATGTTGTCCCGTGTAGTGTTAAACAGTGGGATATAGTCCCGTGTAGTGTTATACAGTGGTATATAGTCCCGTGTAGTGTCATACAGTGTGATATAGTCCCGTGTAGTGTCATACAGTGGGATATAGTCCCGTGTAGTGTTATACAGTGGTATATAGTCCCGTGTAGTGTCATACAGTGGGATATAGTCCCGTGTAGTGTTATACAGTGGGATATAGTCCCGTGTAGTGTCATACAGTGTGATGTAGTCCCGTGTAGTGTCATACAGTGGGAGAAAGTCCCGTGTAGTGTCATACAGTGTGATATAGTCCCGTGTAGTGTCATACAGTGTGATGTAGTCCCGTGTAGTGTCATACAGTGTGATGTAGTCCCGTGTAGTGTCATACAGTGTGATGTTGTCCCGTGTAGTGTTAAACAGTGGGATATAGTCCCGTGTAGTGTTATACAGTGGTATATAGTCCCGTGTAGTGTCATACAGTGTGATATAGTCCCGTGTAGTGTCATACAGTGGGATATAGTCCCGTGTAGTGTTATACAGTGGTATATAGTCCTTGTAGTGTTATACAGTGGGATATAGTCCAGTGTAGTGTCATACAGTGGGATATAGTCCCGTGTAGTGTTATACAGTGGTATATAGTCCCGTGTAGTGGCATACAGTGCAATGTATAATTGTGTAGTTTCAAACATTTATTATAACAGTATCCTGTAGGACAAGCTATACGTGAAACAGTCCTGTCGTGATATACGAGGGGTGTTCATTAAATATTTCCCCTGACCCACTTCCGATGGACCTAGTGGAATGAAACTTGGCATAGGTATTAGTCTTTCTCCACATAGGAACCACCAAGAGTTACACTTCTCCAATCGTCTTATGCAACTATGGAGACTTCGCTTGTAAAAGCCCTCATTTTGCGTCTCAAGCCAAGACTTGACTTCAGAAATCAGTGTTTCATCATCGATGAAACGTTTTCCCTTCAAAAATGACTTCATGGTTGAAAGAGGTGGAAGTCAGATGGTGCAAGGTCAGGAGAGTAAGGAGGATGTGGAAGGATTTCATAGCCACAGGACCGCGCTTCTGTCTGGGCAACATGAGAGTTGTGAAATTTCAAGCAAATATGATAACCCGAAGTGGTTTAGGGGAAATCTTTAATTAACACCCCTCGTAACTGACATACTGTTCAATCGACATAACTAACCTAGCTAGTCTTTGCAGATATCGCTGTCGGGGCGTACCTCTCGGATTCAGCAGTAATTCTCAGAACGAGGCCCATAGTTGACCTTCATGCCAACGTCACGACTGACCCCCAGCTGATTATCAAGGATAAGTCCAGTTGTCCAGCGGGGACTGACGCCGACAGATGCTTCCTGCTGAGGATTTGTTTCCACTACACTGGAGTCAGCCTACCGCCCAGTCTCAGTAAGGCTCATTCATCCTTTACATTCAAGATACAATAACTGGATTTTTAAACCCCATGTGTACATGTCATAGAACCCCTCTGGTGTAAACCTACATGTGTATATGTCATAGAATCCCACTGGTGTAAACCTACACGTGTATATGTCATATAACCTAACTGGTGTAAACATACACGTGTATGTGTTATATAACCCCACTGGTGTAAACCCACACGTGTATGTGTCATATATCCCCACTGGTGTAAACCTAGATGTGTATTTGTCATATAAGCCCAGATGGTGTAAACCTACACGTGTATGTGTCATATAACCCCACTGGTGTAAACCTACATGTGTATGTGTCATAAAACCCCAGATGGTGTAGACCTACACGTGTATGTGTCATATAACCCCACTGGTGTAAACCTACATGTGTATGTGTCATATAACCTCACTGGTGTAAACCTACACGTGTATATGTCATATAACCCCAGATGGTGTAAACCTACACTTGTATGTGCCATATAACCCCACTGGTGTAAACGTACATGTTAATGTGTCATATGACCCCACGGGTGTAAACCTACACGTGTATGTGTCATACAGCCCCACTGGTGTAGCCTACACGTGTATGTGTCATAAAACTCAACAAGGTGTAAACTTACATGTGTGTGTCATATAACCCCACTGGTGTAAACCTACACGTGTATGTGTCATATAACCCCACTGGTGTAAACCTACACGTGTATGCGTCATATAACCCCACATGGTGTAATCTATATGTGTATGTGTCATATAACCCCACATGGTGTAAACCTACACGTGTATGTGTCATATAGCCCCACATGGTGTAAGCTCCATGTGTATGTGCCATAAAACCCCACATGGTGTAAACCTACACGTGTATGTGTCATATAGCCCCACATAGTGTAAACCTACACGCGTATGTGTCATACAGCCCTAATGGTGTAACCTACACGTGTATGTGTCATAAAACCCAACAAGGTGTAAACTTACATGTATGTGTCATATAACCCCACATCGTGTAAAACTACACGTGTATGTGTCATATAACCCCACATGGTGTAACGCTACACGTGTATGTATCATATAATCCCACATGGTGTAACGCTACACGTGTATTTCAGGGTTTGCGTACGAGCTTTCTGTGGATACACACAAAGGAAACGGACAAAAGCGAGTTCTGCTGAACTCCACACAGGGCTACGTCGACTCCATATCTGATGTAATTACTGCGGACGACCAAACAGGGGCGTGCCGGGAGTTTCAAGCTATCAGTGTAAATGTAAGTTGATGCATCCTCCATTAGCGTCTACCTCAGTTGTTGTACAAAGAACAATGACTTGAAAATGACACTGTCATTATGATTCTGACCGCCTCCGTGGAGTAGTGGTGGAGCGTCCGCCAGGAGAGCGGAAGGTCGGGGGTTAGATCCCCGGACGCGTCACACGAAAAGACGTTTAAAGATGGTACCTGCTGTTACCCTTCCTTGCGCTCGGGGCAACAACAATGACTGATCGTGTCAGAGTCAGTATAATGTGTCTGAGTGGGGTATTCATGGTATCTCAGTGAGCTCGCACTATAATACCGGCATTACACACACACACACTACCACACTAACACACACACACTAAAACACATACACACACACACACGTGACGTTAAACCCCATTTCATCTCACATCATTTTGCATCTCGATCAAATCACTACTTACTATCTTTTATGATGCCACTTTTGTAACAATGACCAATCGTTCAACCAATATATGAAATGATACATATGGGTTGTCTATGACTCTTTGTAGGATCGCGCAGAGAAGGATCCGTTTACTGTGGTCCGGATGGAGGCCAGTTACCAACTCCCACAACCGGCAAATCCCAACTCCGACATCCAGCCGGTCACCAACCAGTCACGACCCAATAAAGTGATCAAAGACGTGAGTTGTTACAAGCGATTTAATATACTTAGGAAAAACCTTTTACATTTCAACCAAAAGCAGCTTCGTTTAACTGCATCATCATCCGTGAAACAATAGCTAGAAAATGCTTTCTTTTTGCAAGAAAGAATGGATACATATGGCTTCATCGGAATTTATGTCGGTTGCTAGTGATACCCAGGATAGTCTGTCGGATTATCAAGGCTCTTGAAGAGCAATCCAAAATGATTACCAATGGTTTCTATCACGACCAACTTTAGTAACTTTCTGCAAAAAGCTTACTGGAACTTCTATTTTCTCTACGTACTGATATATACCATTATCATACCTCCATGTCAGAATGACGACTTCTGATTGGTCCACGTGATCATGATAAAATACTATGTATCACGCCTTGGAGGAAAACATTTCTCACCGGGAAAGAATAAATCCCTTTTACCCCGCCACGAACAAGACAGACTGCACGTGGATTTCTGAGAGGCAGATTGAATCCCGTATACCTCGCTTCGAAGCAAAATGCCGCACGCTTTTCCCGGGTCAATAAAAGCTCAATCAAACAGCTGTTTTATATCAGTTTTGAACTTGTTTTAATTCTTTTACAATGGCAGATTAAAACATGTTTCCTGCCCGTGGTATAAAACCTAACGCGGCACGCATAAAACCCCATGTACCCCTCGTGATCCTGGTCCAACTTATAAAATGATTCATTCATCACTACGTATTTCATAATTGTAATTGCCTATAATCGGTCCATATGATTCGTTATCGAAATATCGTAATATCGTGTTATAATTATGTACGTATTGCACTTGCTTAATCACGTCACGAGACAACAGTGTATTGTTTCCGTCATCCGGGCGGCGTTGACTTTATTCGAATCTTATTGTGGCGATAGGTAGGAAAGACGTCACACACGACGTCATAGCTGAAGACTGTTGACGTCATTCGAATTGCTATTAAAGATAAACACTAAAATTCATCTCTGAATGTAAACATTTCCTCGGTAATCAATAGAACATGATATTCGTGTTCATGTCATACTATGTTTACGACACGAGTGTCTAAATTCCGGTATTTCCCGAGCGAGACTTCATAAAAATATGTTTTTATTGTACGTGTCAATATAAAGAAATACAATTACTTCATTACAATATGTTTTTTATTGTACGTTCCAATGTGAAGCAATACAATTACTTCATTACAATATGTTTTTTATTGTACGTGCCAATGTGAAGCAATACAATTACTTCATAACCATACGTTTTCTTGTTGCATTTGCTAACTATGTGATTCACTAATAACATGATTATTTTGTTACTATTGCTAATATTGAGTTACGTATATGATGCATTAACAACAGTGTGATGTATTCATTGCAATTTGGTGTATTCTTGTCCTTGCCAATGGTGAGGTGAGGTGAAATGGGGTTTAACGTCGCGTCCAAGATTATTGCACTTATATAGTGACGTGCACGCACATGTGTGTGTGTGTGTGTGTGTGACTGATGCCGATTTATAGTGCTAGCTCACTGAGATACCATACCGCGGTTTAACATGAATACCACACACACACACACAGTATACTGACTCCGAGCCGACCAGTCCTTGTTTTAGCCCCTTAACGCCAGACAGGGTAAGAACAAGTACCATCTTTTAACGTCTTTTGGTATGACGCGGTCGGGGATCGAACCCCGGACCTTCCGCTCTCCGGGCGGACGCTCTACCACTAGACCACGGAGGCGGTCTCCTTGCCAATGGAGTTACATTCCTTACATTCCTGTGTTTCTCGCAGTTGTTGATATGGGCCAAGTCTGATGTATATGACTTACCTTGCAGTGTATTTCTTGTCTCACTGAGCTCTAAATGCGTCTAGACGCCTCCGTGTTCTTGTGGCAGATGGTCTGCCTGAATTGTCGGGTTCGATCCCCGGTAGCGCCATACCAAAATACGTTTAAAGATGGTACTTGTTGTTACCCAGCCAGGCGCTCGGAATTACGGGGTAAAAATATGGGCTGGTTGGCTGGAGTCTGTATATACTGTCATTTAAACTGCGGCACAGTATTTAGCACTACAAAATGGGCATTAGTCCTGACTAGTACACACACACGTGCATGCACGTCGCTATATAAGTGCAATAATCTTGAACGCGACGTTAAACCCCGTTGCACCTCACCTCACCGCCTTGATGCCTCTGATTCAAGTCTTATAAGAAACGTGAACATTATGCTTTTTTCACACATAGCTTTTATAAATGACTTTGTTTTGTTCTTCTTGCTTCTTTCTCAGGTGGCCTTTCAACTGGCTTGTGGTGAAGACAACCAGTGTTGGTCGGACCTCGTCCTTGACCTCTTCGCGCGCATCAACAACGAGGACGGGGTCGTCATTAGGCCGGATCTGAGCAAGGCTATAGTTATAAATGCGACAAAGGGCCTTGTACTGGACGTGGCCATCAGGAACGACATGGAAACCGCCTTCGCAACAGTGGTGTATGTCACGTGGTCTGGGAGTGTGTCGATGCAGACGACAGAGTCTTCTCCAGAACAACCTGTCGTCTGCGACGGAGACCCTGAGGAAATCGGAGTATTCCAATATCGTCTGAAATGTGACGTTCTTCTCCCGGTGTATTCCAAGGCCAAGTTCGCTTTTGCAGTGTTCTTCACAGCAGACGAAATGAGGACAGACATGTCCCCTCTAAAATTTAACGTCTCAGTGCAAACCGGAAGTAACGAGACGAACGCGGATAATAACAAAGCCAGTCTAACTACTCGCGTCTGGATCGATGCCCAGACAGGGATCAATGGGTAATGGCACACATTATAACTTGCTTCGACATTTTTATCCAAATTAGTCCAAATTTCGTAACATTGAATTTTTATGACAAGTCAGAGAGAGAATGAGTTTTGATTAAAGCCAATATTAACAGTTTTTTAGTTATATGTGGAAGGAAAGTGATGCTATTCGTAAACGGTTACCACTTTGGTGAAACACACAGGTACTGGTACGGTGCTTACAGACCAAGGATCACCATTAGGACGAATCTGGGTTTCGACCCAGCGATTAAACTTTTCTGCCACGCCTAAGGGACGCAACTCTGCACCGTGAAGACCTTAGACAAACGGGCCACCCGTTAACTCACGTTTGTGACCAACAGCATAATTCATTAAAACAGTTGTTTGAGCAATGTCGGTGCTTTTATGTACAAACAACTAAATATTCAGCATGACCAACAAATACCTTTTGCGCACAAGCGTTTTCGACTGAAGCATGTTCCCATGGAAACGCACACATATATATTTAAGACTTAACTGTTATGCACTACAGAAAGTCAGATCCCGACCAAGTACTGGTAAGGATGGATGAACTGGACAAAACCATGGTTACCATCGGACACAAATACGTCATCAAGAACGCAGGCCCAAGTTTCTTGCCGCACACACGTGTCTCCGTCAGCCTTCCATACTTCACCCCACAGAAGGAGGAGCTAGTGGAGGCGGCGGACGTCAGGGTAAGCGTTGGGTGGAGACGGCGGACGTCAGGGTTAGTGTTGGGTGGAGACGGCGGACGTCAGGGTAAGTGTTGGGTGTAGACGGTGGACGTCAGGGTAAGTGTTGGATGGAGACGGCGGACGTCAGGGTAAGTGTTGTGTGCAGACGGCGGACGTCAGGGTAAGTGTTGGGTGGAGACGGCGGACGTCAGGGTAAGTGTTGGGTGGAGACGGCGGACGTCAGGGTAAGTGTTGGGTGGAGACGGCGGACGTCAGGGTAAGTGTTGGGTGGAGGGAGGGACCTCAGGGTAAGTGTTGGGTGGAGGGAGCGGACCTCAGGGTAAGTGTTGGGTGGAGGGAGCGGACGTCAGGGTAAGTGTTGGGTGGAGGGAGCGGACGTCAGGGTAAGTGTTGGGAGGAGGGAGCGGACGTGAGGGTAAGTGTTGGGTGGAGGGAGCGGACGTGAGGGTAAGTGTTGGGTGGAGGGAGCGGACCTCAGGGTAAGTGATTGGTGGAGACGGCGGACGTCAGGTTAAGTGTTGGGTGGAGACGGCGGACGTCAGGGTAAGTGTTGGGTGTAGACGGTGGACGTCAGGGTAAGTGTTGGATGGAGACGGCGGACGTCAGGGTAAGTGTTGTGTGCAGACGGCGGACGTCAGGGTAAGTGTTGGGTGGAGACGGCGGACGTCAGGGTAAGTGTTGGGTGGAGACGGCGGACGTCAGGGTAAGTGTTGGGTGGAGACGGCGGACGTCAGGGTAAGTGTTGGGTGGAGGGAGGGACCTCAGGGTAAGTGTTGGGTGGAGGGAGCGGACCTCAGGGTAAGTGTTGGGTGGAGGGAGCGGACGTCAGGGTAAGTGTTGGGTGGAGGGAGCGGACGTCAGGGTAAGTGTTGGGAGGAGGGAGCGGACGTGAGGGTAAGTGTTGGGTGGAGGGAGCGGACGTGAGGGTAAGTGTTGGGTGGAGGGAGCGGACCTCAGGGTAAGTGATTGGTGGAGACGGCGGACGTCAGGTTAAGTGTTGGGGGGGGGGGGGGGGGGGAAGGGGGGGGGGGTTGGTAGCGTTCGCTCGTCACGCCGAAGACCAGGGTTCGATTCCCCCACATGTGTACAATGTGTGAAGCCCATTTCTGGTGTCACCTTCATATTGCGGGAATATTACGAAAACGGCGGTAAACCCAAGAAGGACAAGATCAGGTTTGTTGGCCTGGATACCTCTGTGTCAAAACCACAAGCATGGCGAAGACGGTAATAACATAATCGAGCCACATCATCATATGTCGCTTAAGATACTGTGTTTGTGCCAAAGTTGGGCATCCATTGACAATGTGTTGGACAGTCTCATTAAATTAGTTACATAATCTACATTTCGTATTTACATTTTGATGCAAAATCACACATTGATTTCGAGTGGGAAGTGACTGGTCCTGAGCAGGAAACAGAAAGCCTTCTGTTTCACTTTTCAGGCCAGCCGACCTCATCCAAGCGAAAGACTCTGTAGGGTTGCTGATCTTCTGAACACGCTGCACACAAACTCGATGCAGTGGTCGTTCAGATAGCCTCTCCTTTAAAAACTGAGTCTGGGCCGACTTGATATGGCACTTCGCTTGGTTGACACTCATTTCTGTACCGTCCAGCAGTGCAGAACCATCAACAAAATCAACCCCGACATTAAGATTATGTCCCACATCCTTGGCTCGTTTTAGAAAACTGTGGAATGCCTTGTTTTCATCATGAGTCTTGCCATGATTCACAAGAGGATCATCAGACAAATAAAAGTGTGCAAAAGTGCATCTATCATGAAGAGCCCCAACGTTACTCAAACCACGTCCTCCCATAATGATTGGTAAATATAAGCGATTGAGGGAAGAGTGAGGGTGGTGGGATCTGTTGTCTGACATGATTCTTCGTGTGAGGGTGTCAATAGCCTGAATTTCCTGTTTCGTCCAATCAACAACACCCAAAAAATATGAAAGGACGGGTACAGCATAAGCATTTGTGGCTTTGACTTTGTTGTTATTATTACACCTGCTCCCTTGGTCCAACTACCTACCTCTGCCTTGAAATTGCTGTTCAATACATTTTCACTCACTCATTCACAGGTCCTCCATCCATTGTCACAGCTCATACAAGAGGATGGAACGGGCGTGTTTCTGTCACATGTGAATGCAACGTATTATAAATTCATCCACATTCATCTTTTCCCCACAGCTCATACAAGAGGACGGAACCAGCGTTGCATGTCAGTTATACCACGAGAGTGAAGGTATCGGTCAAAATACAACCACATCGCCGAGCACGACGACGACTTCGACTGAGTCAGGGGAGAGAACTACCCTCTTTCTACCTCCCATGCCACCGTCTAGTTTAAAACAGAAACCGCTGGCCATATCCAGAAACAACATCGTACGCATGGTAACTAGACTGACACCTAGTCTCTGAAAATATATTTTTTTAATAGAAACAAGCAACTCCATTTATATTAAAAAGGAGCCCCAGTGAGATGTGGAAAATAAAATCTAGACTTGCTTAATTCAGGGCTGTAGCAAGAGTGGTGAGTGAGTTGAACAGTTTTACGGTTATGTAGTTGAATGTTGGTTGGTATGGGGTGTTGATCTTGGGTAAGGTGATGCCAATCAACCTGATCCTGCCACATCGAAGGGAGGCAACTCTGCTCAACGAATAAGAAGGTGTTTTTCGATTATCGTGGCACTTTTTTTTCAGGATATCATCTTTTTGGGTCACTCATAAAACTTCATTATTGAATTATCATCGAACATGTCATGCCGAAGACCCGGGTTCGAATCACCACATGGGTACAAAGTGTGAATCCAATTTCTGGTGTCCCTCCGCCGTGTTAAGATTTCAATGGTGTTGCTAAGTACGGTGTAAACCCCCATTCACTTGGAACTGAATATCAGCGTACTTGCTTAGAACCGTTATCTAAACACATGTGTTGCTTCTTATCTTTAAAATGCCTACAATGAGGTTACTAAATGAAGGCTGCTGTGGTTGATTGCTTGACAGGACTGTGCCGACTTCAAGTGTGTTAAGTACTCGTGTCCCCTTCATCACCTCAGCCCCGGGGGTAGTGCCATCGTCAACATCACCGTCTGGATCCCGGGACGCAAACTGCCATTTTATGACGTAGGTCATTTCGTCTCACATTTGGTTTGTATTCTAAATGTCGTTGATCACAGACTTTGGTGTTGGTGAAAGTATTTTAGAGACGACCTTCCTTGTCAACCTACACCGAACTTTAGTTAAGGGTGAGTCATGCAGATGAATCGACACCGCCCACCGGAAATGTAGACTGCATCCTCTTCACTCTCGACCCTCATCAGCAGCTACACTACTATCATCCCGGCATCCCTATTTCCCATAGACTTCTATAGTAACGTTATATTTCCTTTTAAAAAATAACAGCATTTAACAGCTATTACCTGTACGTGGGTGCACTGTATGACCTTCAGCAGTAGTAAAAACTGACTTTAGACAGTTCATTTTCCCAGTACAGGAAGCTAAGCACACCACCCCCAGTTCCGCACCAAATGTAACTTGCTTGAAAATATCTGTGGTCACATTCAGCATAAGTCATTATGTTAAAAAAGACTGCGCTACATATACAAAGAACATGGTCAGTTTTTATTACTGGGTGGATGTACATTGAAACAACATGAAATTCTACAACACGATCATCCAATCACAGCTGCCAGATGAGTCAGTCTGTGCTGAAGGCTGATTCTGAATTGATGTAGAAGAACCTCCGAGGAGCCACAATTCGCTGTGCAGAGTTGCGTCCCTTGGATACACCAGGAACCTATGGTCATGGTTCCAATCCTGGAGTCGCTCTTTGGGTCTAGGTTTGTCAGTGGGTTTCACCAACGTGCCTACGTTTAAGATTTCATCACTGTGGGCTTTCCTCCAAGGTGACACCCTGTGACAAAACTTTAATACAGTTCAAAGCGGCGTTAAACCGCTTTCAACAGTATTACAGTTACATCACGGCGTGTCAGCTTAATGTGGGAGGAAAGCCCGAAGTGATGCAGGTCTCTGACGTTTACCACTTCGGTGAAACCCACGAGCACGGGTATGGTACTGACAAACATAATCGGGGCGAACCGGGATTCGAACCCACAGTCACAGGTTTCTGGCGTGCCCAAGGGACGCAACTCTGCACAGCGAATCGCGGCGCCTTAGACGACTGGGCCACCCGTGCCCCTCACGCCGAAGACCCGGGTTCGATTCCCCACATGGGTACAATGTGTGAAGCCCTTTTTCCGGTGTCCCCCGCCGTGATATTGCTGGAATATTGCTAAAAGCAGCGTAAAACCATACTCACTCACTCATTATAATTGATATTGTTATCGATGCGATAAGCCAGTTCGATAAACTTGGTAGGATGATCTCATGAATATGCAAATAAAGCCACCGAGCAGGATGTGCGTTAAAGCTGCATACCTCGAGACAGTGGCTGATTATTCGTTGCCAGTAAGTTTAGGAAGGCGATTGCCGATGTGCGGGTGTTTCTGTAGACAATCACAGCTGCAAATAAGTGCGTACTATATGAAAAATGGGGCGGTTCACTGCAGTATTGTATTCATACGCCGTTTCTTTGTGATCTAGAAATAAAGGAAACCAGTGAGACCGCCTCATCTGTTTCATATTTAGATCTATGCATAAAGATTCAGGGTGACAAAACACTCTCTACAAGACTGCATGACAAGGGGGATGACTTCACCTTTCCAATAGTTATTTCCCCTTCATGTCGAGCAATATTCCAGCAGCTCCAGCCTTTGGTGTTTACATTTCACAACTTTAGAGATACAATCGAGCATGCTCTTTTACCAAGATTTCAAAGAGCGTCATACGACTCTTGCTCAGAAGTTGTTTGATCAAGGTTACAACATTCAAGGCCTCAGTGAAGCTTTCAATGAGTTTTATGGTCGACATGTTGAGGACATTTCCAAATTTGACGCAAAGTGTGACACAAATTATTGTTGCAGCCATGATATAGTGGTGTTAGGGTGTTATTACATAAACCACAGGCTACGGGTTGTGAGGTACAATCTGTTTATTCCAGCGTAGTGGAAGAAGGCACTCTGTAATAATAATAAAAATAAACAATATACTCGATTTAAAATCACACGTGGTCAACTTATCATCCTTATGAACTAAGTACATAAATGCGCATATATATCATCATATACAGGTATTACACAGTAATACATTACACAAATGACTTTATATGATTACATGTTTACATGTGATGAACAAAGTATCTGTTGACATGAAGACTATAAAAAATAGCATGGCCTAATAATGAAACAGACCATAGAGTCTGTACAAAGAAACCTACCCTGTGGGTGACACGGGAGTGTGTCCACGCACCAAGTAGCCCGACAGCCAACTCGTATAGTAAACCTATATAAGGGATAATACATTGATCAAGGGCTACCATTATACTAAGTGAAACATATATACATAATAGTGACCACCACAATGAAAGTCTACAATTTTATCAACAATACAGGATTCATGATATATCAATATTACACCATACAGTAAACAGTTACAAAACAATAATTTCTAGCCAGCATATTGACCAGATTAAACATAGAAAACAAACCATACTCACATTCATACAGGTTAAATGGTAGATTGTGTATATACTTACACTAGGTTGATCATGAACATATTTATACCTATTTTATATATGATTTATATTATACTTTAATTTACAATTTATATAACAACTAAAATGTATACTAACTAACCTTTGAGTTGTGCAAAACATCAAGCAGGTGTACAATCCTCATTCAGTGATAGTGTGACTGGTTAGTAACATGGCGGATGACATGTATATTTGAAAACAGGACCAATCAAGTGAGAAGCTTGGCCTGGGCTATTGTTAAAACACCAAAGACAATGACATGAAAATAGACCAACCCAAATACCCTTATAACCAAAATGTGACCAGCCCTGTGACACAGAAATGTGCAGTAAACATAAAAGCAAGAGACAGACGGACTGACAACTAATTTCAACTTGTATATATATAAACCAATCGTCGTCTGCTGGATCACTAAAACCTGAAATAAGATTAAAATGATTAATTATACATTTATGTACACGACATAACTTAACTAAATAAATCCCTGTTACATTATGTCCGATGCAATTCCCTATTTTGACTTGTACCATATGTTCGCATGTTTGTTTAGGTGCACAACTGACTTGCATTTGCATGTGTAGGATACGCTCACCTTTTCGCGAACACCTGGTATCATTACTATTTGATAGTGATTCATGAACACACGCTCATGATATAGTCGGAGTTGTACAATCGACTCTGCTTTATGAAGACATTTCTATTGGATATGAAAAGGGTTATGTCACTTTATTTACCTGAATTAATTAATTAATAAAAGCGACAAAACCCATTTCTATAATCACATGAAATATCTGCTAAAAGCAGAGTACATAGTTCGTTTCCGAACACAACGGGCATGTGTTCATGAATCACTATCACATAGAGATGATACCAGGTCTTCGGGAAAAGTTACTTCTTGAAGTAAATATACATCTTAAACATGAAATATTTTTTTGAATGACATTAGATGATAAGTGATTATTACCCTCCCGTGTTTCCGTACAGTGAATATGACACGCAAAAGGCTGGCACATGCATTTTTATATTCCTCACGTATGATATTTACGGTACGGAAGCACGCTCGGCTAATAATATCTATACCCTCCTATAAACCAGATCGTATAATAGGTAGTTAGATGTTACAGCAGAACCTGTCAAAACCGGACTAATTGGCTGACTTCCCTTTTTACTTTTTCTCAAAGGTGCAGCAATCATAAAAATATTTATAGTTATAGTTTGGAGGAAATACATTGTATAATAACACTTTGAAATACATGTTCAGCTCTGCCTATCAATTCTTTTGTTTCCTTTACAAACCTGAACTTTATTTAATTAAATACTATCAGTCTGAAAATCATTTTTTAGAAAAAACAACTTGCAGCAATGTAATATTTGTGGCAGGCATGTTCGTTTCTATTCAACAGTCTGAAGCATAAGTATTTCCCCACCCACCCCAACCCAACCAGAATATGAATATGGTGGCGGCCTTTCCTTGTCTGTTTACCAAATGCTACAATGTACATATTTACTCCAGCGCGTTGACTTCCTGAGGTACTACACTGAAGCCACCGTGAAACAGCCTGAACACCCCCTACTCTACCCCTGGGGACAAGCTGTCGAGACGAAGGTAAGACGGTGATATCCTGGACACCCCCTACTCTACCCCTGGGGACAAGCTGTGGAGACGAAGGTAAGACGGTGATATCCTGGCCACCCCCTACTCTACCCCTGGGGACAAGCTGTGGAGACGAAGTTAAGATGGGTGATATCCTGTCCTGGTCACCCCCTACTCTACCCCTGGGGACAAGCTGTGGAGACGAAGGTAAGACGGGTGATATACTGACCTGGTCACCCCCTACTCTACCCCTGGGGTCAAGCTGTGGAGACGAAGGTAAGACGAGTGATATCCTGGCCTGGTCACCCCCTACTCTACCCCTGGGGACAAGCTGTGGAGACGAAGGTAAGACGGGTGATATCCTGGCCTGGTCACCCCCTACTCTACCCCTGGGGACAAGCTGTGGAGACGAAGGTAAGATGGGTGATATCCTGTCCTGGTCACCCCCTACTCTACCCCTGGGGACAAGCTGTTGAGACGAAGGTAAGATGGGTGATATCCTGTCCTGGTCACCCCCTACTCTACCCCTGGGGACAAGCTGTGGAGACGAAGGTAAGACGGGTGATATCCTGGCCTGGTCACCCCCTACTCTACCCCTGGAGACAAGCTGTGGAGACGAAGGTAAGACGCGTGATATCCTGGCCTGGTCACCCCCTACTCTACCCCTGGGGACAAGCTGTGGAGACGAAGGTAAGATGGGTGATATCCTGTCCTGGTCACCCCCTACTCTACCCCTTGGGACAAGCTGTGGAGACGAAGGTAAGATGGATGATATCCTGTCCTGGTCACCCCCTACTCTACCCCTGGGGACAAGCTGTGGAGACGAAGGTAAGACGGGTGATATCCTGGCCTGGACACCCCCTACTCTACCCCTGGGGACAAGCTGTGGAGACGAAGGTAAGATGGGTGATATCCTGTCCTGGTCACCCCCTACTCTACCCCTGGGGACAAGCTGTGGAGACGAAGGTAAGACGGGTGATATCCTGGCCTGGACACCCCCTACTCTACCCCTGGGGACAAGCTGTGGAGACGAAGGTAAGACGGATGATGTCCTGGTCACCCCCTACTCTACCTCTGGGGACAAGCTGTGGAGACGAAGGTAAGATGGGTGATATCCTGTCCTGGTCACCCCCTACTCTACCCCTGGGGACAAGCTGTGGAGACGAAGGTAAGACGGGTGATATCCTGGCCTGGACACCCCCTACTCTACCCCTGGGGACAAGCTGTGGAGACGAAGGTAAGACGGGTGATATCCTGGTCACCCCCTACTCTACCCCTGGGGACAAGCTGTGGAGACGAAGGTAAGATGGGTGATATCCTGGCCTGGTCACCCCCTACTCTACCCCTGGGGACAAGCTGACGAGACGAAGGTAAGACGGGTGATATCCTCGACACCCTGAGTCTCCGTTCTGTAGAGGATGGTTAATCGTTATATTGACCCAAAATAATAACAACAACAACAATGAAGTGGCCACGGTGATCAAACACAATCCTCCTTTCATTTGCAGATAATGACGCCCATCTACCCCGATAATCCACCCGGCAAAGTCAACATCTGGATCATCATTGGCAGCGTCCTTGCCGCTATCATCATCCTCATCATCATCTTCATCGTTCTCTGGAAGGTAACTGCACCGAGGGAAAGGGTAAAGGGTCTGAATTGTCCAATGGTGTACTTGTCTGGGTGGATGGGTGTCTTGGTGGACCGACAGCTATATATAGTTCAACTTTAAAAGTTGCTGTATGTGTCTGTAAATTGTAGAACGTTGTAGTTATCTTGAAAGGAAAATTGAACAACTTTGTAGTTGTCTGAACTGTACATTGTTCAACAGTGTTGTTATCTTAAAAGTTATATTGTTCCAAGTTGTAGTTGTCTTGAAAGTACATCGTACAATGATAAAGCTACGCGGGAGGTAGCATCTGCAATATTGCTGTTGTCTGGAACGTAAATGTTACAGCTGTTTTGGGGTACATTGTATATTTTTCAAATTGTTGGAGCTGTTTTGAGGTATACATTTCACATTGTTGGAGCTGTTTTGGGGTATATCTTTCACATTGTTGGAGCTGTTTTGGGGTATATATTTCAAATTGCTGCAGCTGTTTGGGGTATATATTTCACATTGTTGGAGCTGTTTTGGGGGTATATATTTCACATTGTTGGAGCTGTTTTGAGGTATATCTTTCACATTGTTGGAGCTGTTTTGGGGAATATATTTCACATTGCTGCAGCTGTTTTGGGGTATATATTTCACATTGTTGGAGCTGTTTTGGGGTATATATTTCACATTGTTGGAGCTGTTTTGAGGTATATCTTTCACATTGTTGGAGCTGTTTTGGGGAATATATTTCACATTGCTGCAGCTGTTTTGGGGTATATATTTCACATTGTTGGAGCTGTTTTGGGGGTATATATTTTACATTGTTGGAGCTGTTTTGAGGTATATCTTTCACATTGTTGGAGCTGTTTTGGGGAATATATTTCACATTGCTGCAGCTGTTTTGGGGTATATCTTTCACATTGTTGCAGCTGTTTTGGGGAATATATTTCACATTGCTGCAGCTGTTTTGGGGTATATATTTCACATTGTTGGAGCTGTTTTGGGGGTATATATTTTACATTGTTGGAGCTGTTTTGAGGTATATCTTTCACATTGTTGGAGCTGTTTTGGGGAATATATTTCACATTGCTGCAGCTGTTTTGGGGTATATCTTTCACATTGTTGGAGCTGTTTTGGGGAATATATTTCACATTGCTGCAGCTGTTTTGGGGTATATATTTCACATTGTTGGAGCTGTTTTGGGGGTATATATTTCACATTGTTTGAGCTGTTTTGGGGTATATATTTCACATTGTTGGAGCTGTTTTGGGGGTATATATTTCACATTGTTGCAGCTGTTTTGGGGTATATATTTCACATTGTTGGAGCTGTTTTGTGGTATATATTTCGCATTGTTGGAGCTGTTTTGGGGGATATATTTCACATTTTTTTGCAGCTGTTTTGGGTATACCGCACAATAAGTATTCACTGTTTATTATCTAAGTATATTACAAGGATGTTTTTGTTTTGTAAACGATGAACAATGTTGTAGCTATTTGGGGATACATCGTACAATGTTATAACAGTTTTAGGATATATTGTGCAATGTTGTAGCTTTTTTGATTAAACAAGATACAATGTTGTAGTTTTATGGAAGGTATATTGTACGGTATTGTAGCTGTTTGGAAGGTAGGTGGTAAAATGTAATAGCTGTTTTGAAGGCATCTTCCCGGGAAAAGGGCGTTAACTGTCTGTAAAAGTCTACTTTTCACCCTTGCCGAACTTGGTTCATTGATGGAATTCTGGAGTCACATGCTGGCTGGACTAAAGAGTCTATGCATCGTCCAATCAAAATCGCGCAATGAACAAGACATCCGGTTCGTAAACAACATGGATTTCAATGCGCAGATTTCGATCGACTGCAGGATTTGCAAAGCATGTGTACCGTCAACTTGGCGTCGATAGATATTTCCCAAATCCTTTCATGTTTATAATCATTTGCGCAAATGATTTGATTAGCCCTGTTTTATGACAATATAGATCTTGATTATCGATCAGATCGTCGGCGTCACCATTTTGTTTGAAGCAAATGCAAATGTGTTTTATTGTCTCCGTTTATACCATGTTGTATTCACTTCTGTTCCGACGTCACATGTAATTAGAGGTTGAAATGACGTCATCTCGATTTATTTCTTACAGTTCTGTGACGTCATGTTGCTAAGGGCCGCTTTGCAAACAGTCAATAAACTAGAACAATATGAAAAATTTATCAAATCAGCAAGAAACAAATATATATATGTGATCAGTGAGACTTACCAACATAAAAACAGGTTTCAGCAATTCAACAAACATTTAACGATATTAGACAACCAACAGACAATCAACAGACAACAAACCATTCGTTCCATTTGTCTTTCCATAAGAATAAGGTGTGAACACAACTGCCGTATCAATACACACTCCCTTTAAGTGCATGTTATGCACCTTAACATCATGTGTTTGTCCCTTGAAATCCACATATCAAACACATGTTTCCAGTGCGGATTTTTCAAGCGGGAGAAGAAAGGCAAAATACAGAAATGGAAGCGAGAGAGCGGTTACTACGGGAGAAACCAGTCACGTGGTCCACGAAACAGCAAAGCTCCAGGAGAATCCAGTAACGGCCGAGGGGAGTCCAGCGAAGTCCCCGGGGAGTCCGCCATGGAGGAAAAGGGAGCCGAGCCGTCATAGAGAAGACTTGATGTTTTAAAAAGAAATTATAAAAAATAATGGAAAGCAATTACTTTGCCTCTGTTTTTACACATACAAAAATAAACTTAATCCTGGGTATCTGTGTTGCAATACATTGAACTATTGAATGTCTCCTTTGTGAAAAAAACCATATATTCTTATCAAGCAGTGACCCCAAGATAACCTGCCTCGAGGTGAGATGAAAATGGGGTTTAACGTCGCGTCCAAGATTTATGCACTTATATAGCGACGTGCATGCACGTGTGTGTGTGTGGCTGCTTGTACTAGTCCGGACTGATGCCGATTTATAGTGCTAGCAAACTGAGATACCATGCCACAGTTTAACATGAATACCCCACTCAAACACAGTATTCTGACTCCGAGCCGACCAGTCCTTGTTTTAGCCCCTTAATGTCGAGCGCAAGACAGGGTAACAACAAGAACCATCTTTTTACGTCTTTTGGTATGGTGTGGCCGGGGATCAAACACCGGACTTTTCGCTCTCCGGGCGGACGCTCTACCACTAGGCCACGGAGGCGGTCTAACCTGCCTCGAACAAACTTCCCAGTCCTGACTAAACGTGGTCATAGTCTATGGTTATTAACACAACGTGGAGCTCAAGATACAATGGGGGCAGGGGTGGCCCAGTCGTCTAAGGCACCGCGATTCGCTGTGCAGAGTTGCATCCCTTGGGCCCGCCAGAAATCTATGATTGTGGGTTTGAATCCCGGTTCGCCCCGATTATGTTTCTGGGTTTGTCAGCACCATACCCGCGCTCGTGGGTTTCACCGAAGTGGTAAACGTCTGAGACCTGCGTCACTTCGGGCATTAAGCTGACACGCCGTGATATACTTGAATACTGTTAAAAGCGGCGTTAAACCCAACTCACTCACTTAAGATAAAATAAAAGAAATGTACGCCTCTACTTACTTGCAAATCAGGTCTGTCCAAGGCTTATCAATTGTAAACATTACATTTACAAGCCAAAACAAAGGCACACATGCCGCTAACAGGACCAAGCATACAATCCCAGGAATTTATGTCTAAGTGTACATGCATTCAAGTAAATATATATCTACTTTTACACAGGTTTACATAAATTCATGTCTAAATTTAGCTTCATCCTTGTAAATAACGTAAGGTGCTCTATTCAGAGATGGCTGTATCCTTTTTGATAAATATAAATATCATTCACTATACTTACAACAGAAAACCTGTGAAGATCCGGGGTAGAATAGGTCTTCAGCAACCCATGCTTGCCATAAAAGGCGACTATGCTTGTCGTAAGAGGCGACTATCGGAATCGGGTGGTCAGGCTCGCTGACTTGGTTGATGCATGTCATCGTGTCCCAATTGCGTGGATCGATTGTCATGATGTCAATCACTTGATTGTCTGGTCCAGACTCGATTATTTACAGACCGACGTCATATAGCGGGAATACTGCGGCGATAAACAACAAACAAACAAACAAACTTACAACAGAGATTATTTGTGTATGGATTTTTATTACAACGTAGTTTTGAGCGGTCGGGTAGCCTAGTGGTTAAAACGTTCGCTCGTCCCGCCGAAGACCCGGGTTCGATTCTCGACATGGGTACAATGTGTGGAGCCCATTTCTGGTGTCCCCCGCCGTGATATTGCTGGAATATTGCTAAAAGCGGCGTAAAACCATACTCACTCACTCAATGTGTTTTCTCTACCAGTACATGTCACAGATTAAATATTTGTCAATATATATATATAATGTTCATGTGCAGTAAATATTCATGTGGGCAGGCTAATCAGACTGCATAAGTGATGCAGCCTCAATCCCGCCAGCATCAGACCAACCAACGGCTGTAGAACAAACATCTTCAGCAACATCAATACTGATAACGGGTATCGGCATCAACCCATGCGTTTCCCAACATCAGTCTCATCCTCAATAGAGCACGGGTACAAACACACTACGCTCCTCCATCACCCGTGAATACATCGTCAGTACTGCACGGGTACAAACACAACACACTCCTCCATCAACCCTGAATACATCGTCAGTACTAAACGGGTACAAACACACTACGCTCCTCCATCTCCTGTGAATACATCGTCAGTACTGCACGGGTACAAACACAACACACTCCTCCATCACCCGTGAATACATCGTCAGTACTAAACGGGTACAAACACAACACACTCTCCCGTGAATACTTCGTCAGTACTGCACGGGTACAAACACACGACGCTCCTCCATCTACGTGAATACATCGTCAGTACTGCACGGGTACAAACACACCACACTCCTCCATCACCCGTGAATACATCGTCAGTACTGCACGGGTACAAACACACTACGCTCCTCCATCACCCGTGAATACTTCGTCAGTACTGCACGGGTACAAACACACTACGCTCCTCCATCACCCGTGAATACTTCGTCAGTACTGCACGGGTACAAACACAACACACTCCTCCATCACCCGTGAATACTTCGTCAGTACTGCACGGGTACAAACACAACACACTCCTCCATCACCCGTGAATACTTCGTCAGTACTGCACGGGTACAAACACACCACACTCCTCCATCAACCCTGAATACATCGTCAGTACTGCACGGGTACAAACACACCACACTCCTCCATCACCCCTGAATACTTCGTCAGTACTGCACGGGTACAAACACACCACACTCCTCCATCAACCCTGAATACATCGTCAGTACCGCACGGGTACAAACACAACACACTCCTCCATCACCCGTGAATACGTCGTCAGTACTGCACGGGTACAAACACAATACGCTCCTCCATCACCCGTGAATACATCGTCAGTACCGCACGGGTACAAACACAACACACTCCTCCATCACCCCTGAATACATCGTCAGTACTGCACGGGTACAAACACACTACGCTCCTCCATCGCCCGTGAATACATCGTCAGTACCGCACGGGTACAAACACAACACACTCCTCCATCACCCGTGAATACATCGTCAGTACTGCACGGGTACAAACACAACACACTCTCCCGTGAATACATCGTCAGTACTGCACGGGTACAAACACACTACGCTCCTCCATCGCCCGTGAATACTTCGTCAGTACTGCACGGGTACAAACACACTACGCTCCTCCATCACCCCTGAATACATCGTCAGTACTGCACGGGTACAAACACACTACGCTCCTCCATCGCCTGTGAATACATCGTCAGTACTGCACGGGTACAAACACACAACGCTCCTCCATCACCCCTGAATACATCGTCAGTACTGCACGGGTACAAACACACCACACTCCTCCATCGCCCGTGAATACATCGTCAGTACCGCACGGGTACAAACACAACACACTCCTCCATCACCCGTGAATACATCGTCAGTACTGCACGGGTACAAACACAACACACTCTCCCGTGAATACATCGTCAGTACTGCACGGGTACAAACACACTACGCTCCTCCATCGCCCGTGAATACATCGTCAGTACTGCACGGGTACAAACACACCACACTCCTCCATCACCCGTGAATACATCGTCAGTACTGCACGGGTACAAACACACTACGCTCCTCCATCACCCGTGAATACTTCGTCAGTACTGCACGGGTACAAACACACTACGCTCCTCCATCACCCGTGAATACTTCGTCAGTACTGCACGGGTACAAACACAACACACTCCTCCATCACCCGTGAATACTTCGTCAGTACTGCACGGGTACAAACACAACACACTCCTCCATCACCCGTGAATACTTCGTCAGTACTGCACGGGTACAAACACACCACACTCCTCCATCAACCCTGAATACATCGTCAGTACTGCACGGGTACAAACACACCACACTCCTCCATCACCCCTGAATACTTCGTCAGTACTGCACGGGTACAAACACAACACACTCTCCCATCACCCGTGAATACTTCGTCAGTACTGCACGGGTACAAACACACCACACTCCTCCATCAACCCTGAATACATCGTCAGTACCGCACGGGTACAAACACAACACACTCCTCCATCACCCGTGAATACATCGTCAGTACTGCACGGGTACAAACACAATACGCTCCTCCATCACCCGTGAATACATCGTCAGTACCGCACGGGTACAAACACAACACACTCCTCCATCACCCCTGAATACATCGTCAGTACTGCACGGGTACAAACACACTACGCTCCTCCATCGCCCGTGAATACATCGTCAGTACCGCACGGGTACAAACACAACACACTCCTCCATCACCCGTGAATACATCGTCAGTACTGCACGGGTACAAACACAACACACTCTCCCGTGAATACATCGTCAGTACTGCACGGGTACAAACACACTACGCTCCTCCATCGCCCGTGAATACATCGTCAGTACTGCACGGGTACAAACACACCACGCTCCTCCATCGCCCGTGAATACATCGTCAGTACTGCACGGGTACAAACACACTACGCTCCTCCATCACCCCTGAATACATCGTCAGTACTGCACGGGTACAAACACACTACGCTCCTCCATCGCCTGTGAATACATCGTCAGTACTGCACGGGTACAAACACACTACGCTCCTCCATCACCCCTGAATACATCGTCAGTACTGCACGGGTACAAACACACCACACTCCTCCATCGCCCGTGAATACATCGTCAGTACCGCACGGGTACAAACACAACACACTCCTCCATCACCCGTGAATACATCGTCAGTACTGCACGGGTACAAACACAACACACTCTCCCGTGAATACATCGTCAGTACTGCACGGGTACAAACACACTACGCTCCTCCATCGCCCGTGAATACATCGTCAGTACTGCACGGGTACAAACACACCACGCTCCTCCATCGCCCGTGAATACATCGTCAGTACTGCACGGGTACAAACACAATACGCTCCTCCATCACCCCTGAATACATCGTCAGTACTGCACGGGTACAAACACACTACGCTCCTCCATCGCCTGTGAATACATCGTCAGTAGTGCACGGGTACAAACACACTACGCTCCTCCATCACCCCTGAATACATCGTCAGTACCGCACGGGTACAAACACAACACACTCCTCCATCGCCCGTGAATACTTCGTCAGTACTGCACGGGTACAAACACAACAAACTCTCCCATCACCCGTGAATACATCGTCAGTACAGCATGGGTACAAACACACTACGCTCCTCCATCGCCCGTGAATACATCGTCAGTACTGCACGGGTACAAACACACTACGCTCCTCGATCGCCCGTGAATACATCGTCAGTACTACACGGGCACGAACACACTACGCTCCTCGATGGGTGTCCAGGCCAGGATATCACCTCATCCAGAAACCAGTGTGTACATGTTGAACCAAGTATTAATCATACACAGAAACCAGTGTGACAAGCATCCACAACCAAGTATTAATCATACACAGAAACAAGTGTGACAAGCATCCACAACCAAGTATTATTGATACACAGAAACTATTGTGAGTAGCATCCACAACCAAGTATTATTCATACACAGAAACCAGTATGATAAGCATTTTCAATCAAGTATTAGTCATACACAGAACCCTGTGTGACAAGTCTCTTCAACCAAACAGTATTCATACACAGGAACTATTATGATTATATCCTATACAATTTGGATCTGCAAACACGTATCAGGTCCAGCGCCTGATCCACAAGACGACCTAAGCATAACAGCCATCTTAGTGTATGCTAAGATAAGTCTTACCAGAATGGCATTGCACTATGAATACACAGTCTCGGTTATTTCTGTCGTAACTGAATCCGGTGGTCATAAAAGGCAAGATAGTAGTGAAAATACTATTCAACTGTTTGTTTGTTTTTTGTTCAACGTCCCACTCTGCAATAATCCAGTGATTGACATCATGAGCATCGATCCACGCAATTGGGATACGATGACATGCATTAACCAAGTCTGCGAACCTGACCACCCGTTCCCGTTAGTCGCCTCTTACGACAAGCATAGTCGTCTCTTACGGCAAGCATGGGTTGGAAGTCCTATTCCAGCTCCAGCACCCCCCCCCCCCCCCCCCCCCCCTATTCCATCCCAGATCTTCACGGGTCTAAAGTGACACATTCCACCCCAGATCTTCACCGGTCTGAAGTGACCCATTCCAACCCAGATCTTCATGGGTCTGAAGTGACCTATTCCACCCTAGACCTTCACGGGTCTGAAGTAACCCATTCCAGCCCCCGATCCTCACGGGTCTGAAGTGACATATTCCACCCCGGATCTTCACCGGGCTGAAGTGACCTATTCCACCCCAGATCTTCATGGTTCTGAAGTGACCTATTCCACCCTAGACCTTCACGGGTCTGAAGTAACCCATTCCAGCCCCCGATCCTCACGGGTCTTAAGTGACATATTCCACCCCAGATCTTCACCGGTCTGAAGTGACCTATTCCACCCTAGACCTTCACGGGTCTGAAGTAACCCATTCCAGCCCCTGATCCTCGCGGGTCTGAAGTGACATATTCCACCCCGGATCTTCACCGGGCTGAAGTGACCTATTCCACCCCGGATCTTCACCGGGCTGAAGTGACCTATTCCACCCCAGATTTTCACGGGTCTGAAGTGACCTATTCCACCCCAGATTTTCATGGATCTGAAGTGCCCTATTCCACCCCAGATCTTCATGGATCTGAAGGGACCTATTCTACCCCAGATCTTCATGGGTCTGAAGTGACCTATTCCAACCCAGAATTCATGGGTCTGAAATGACCTATTCCACCCCGGATCTTCACGAGTCTGAAATGACATATTCCACCCCTGATCTTAACGGGTCTGAAGTGATTTATTCCACCCCAGATCTTCATGGGTCTGAAGTGACCTATTCCACCCCAGAATTCATAGGTCTGAAGTGACCTATTCCACCCATGAATTCATTGGTCTGAAATGACCTATTCCACCCCGAGCTTTACGGGTCTGAAGTGACCTATTCCACCCCAGAATTCATGGGTCTGAAGTGACCTATTCTACCCAAGAATTCATGGGTCTGAAGTGACCTATTCCACCCCGGATCTTCACGGGTCTGAAGTGACCTATTCCACCCCAGAATTGATGGGTCTGAAGTGACCTATTCCACCCCGGATCTTCACCGGGCTGAAGTGACCTATTCCACCCCAGATTTTCACGGGTCTGAAGTGACCTATTCCACCTCAGATCTTCACGGATCTGAAGTGACCTATACCACCCCAGATCTTCTCGGGGATCCACAAAACAATACAAGTGCTGATATGATAACTCAACTACTTTAACATAACATTTATGACAGTTGAGATCACTCAAGAACAACAAACCAGGGAATGTTTATAAAATTGTTCAAGTTTATTTCAGAAAGGCTATTGAATGTGGATCAGAAATGATAGAATATAATCGGACAGCTGTCGACTTAGACACACCCTTCATTCGTCAGTCTCAAAGAAACTCTTGCCAACTTGTTAATTGAAGACTAACAAACGACAAAAATTGAAATCAAATTAACTTATTGTCTCATGCAATCCATGTAACAATTTATTCTTCTTAAATATTTTTTTTGAATGTCCATATATGCATAAAAGGACAGAAGGTATTTGATCCTAACATCTTTACATTAACATAAGAAAACATTATACATTTATATCTTAGGCTTAAAAAATAAAAGAATTGGTTCTCAGGCCATGGCTTTTGAAAATGTAGGCAGTGTTTTTTTTTTTTTTTTTTGGTTGTTCAAACCAGTGTGTAACCAAAAATAAACAGTTGTGTCACCAAATAAACAGTTGTGTACAATCAACCTAGGAAAGGGCCTCCCAACATAAATGTAGTTCTTCAGGAGTAAAATACTGGTATACTGTATTTGACTTCCGTTGGACATGGAATTTTTAAGGATTTTTGAAATATTTTTTTAAATGGAAATAAAAATGAAACGTGCAGCGATTTAATGATGATGTCGGCAGGGCCTTAGAACCAAATTTGTTGGGTTTTTTTAGCCTTCATGCAACATTACAAATGAGACACCTTCAAGTACTTCCGAGTTTAAGTGGTCTCACAAGTAACTGGGTAGGAAGATGTCTCTGTTCAAACACAGTAACATCCAAAATATTATTAACACATGAATATTGGAAGAAGACATTGAACTGTTCTGTTATTATATCATTCTTCTTAAAACAATTGAAGGGGTACAATTTTCATTATTCAAGAACTGACACAAACTTATTAGAATGAGCTAAAAGTTCTAAAGATTATTATCAGGATTGACGAATCATTTCTAAATAACACAAATTAAGTAGTCATTCAAGTAAAGAATCATGTTCTTTGAAGTGTTCAATATTCATATTTCATGCAATGTGACTTGCTTCTACACAATATGCAAAAGAATTTTTCTATACTGTTCTTGGGAGTTGGTTATTGGCTGTTGAAAAACTACTTTAAAAATGATATATTAATGTCTGTTGCCCATGGTCTATTAATACACGTTCAGCTACTAAATTCGGCTTGTGTTGAATTCTGCAGACATTATTCAGCATCATTTTCATCTCGAGACATCAGGATTGCTTATCTTTAATGTTGTGATAACTTCGTTTACAGATCCACTGACAATAACAGGCAAATTCTGAATAAAATTCATGATAGTCTTCTTTATTTTTTTAATACAATTTCAAATTGAGTGTAACGCCAACCTTCAAAAAGGGTGAAAAAGGGAAGTAACTTCTCTACTTTCAAATACTTGCTTTGTGTACACCCAACACCAAATCATTTTAAAATGGTTTCAAATATACTTTTAGTTTTCATTTAAACAACCGACCTTATGGTGTCATGGTTTAAGAAGAAATGTGTACCGGTAAATCAAACTAAATGTTAATAAATCGGGAAAGCACCATTAATATTTTTTAGATCATTTTAGGGTAGTAATGATTCTCCATTCTCTTTCACCACAAAGTCTATATTTCTGTTCAAGAATAACTACACACCAGAACCACAATCAAAATATGCCCGAAACAAAATTGTTTCCTCTCTCCATTACGCTGAGGCTTAAGAAAATAAAAGAATTGGTTCTCAGGCAATGGCTTTTGAAAATATAGTGCGCGAGGGTGATTTTGGGAGTTGTTCAAGCTAGTATGTAACTAACCTTTTGTTTACAATTTTTGGTAAAATCATGTTGTTCTTAAGTATTGCAGCATTTCACTGCCGGGGTCGTGTGATTTAAAGATTTTTTTAAATTTTTTTTGAAAATGGAAAATAAAAACGAAACATGCGATGGATGTAAGGAGGAAGCGGGCGGTGCCTGAGAACCAAGACTATTATTTTTTTCAGGAAAAGTTTCTCAGTTTACTCAAACAAATCTGGAAAACAAGCATGAAATTTGTTGTGACCTTACACGGATCATTATTGTAATATTATACGATTGTGTTTTCAGTTATAAATATGAATTAGTAGCAGCTAAATTGTCAATACAAGATAAAACGTTGCTATCTATATGAACATATTTTTACATCATAATGATAATGTTATGTACATATCTAATGTTTTCATTCCAAAGTACATGTAGATACTATTTGATAAACAGTCTCACAAATACACAACTGTCAAGATACAATCAACTAACTACCTCAGTAAGTATGTAAAATGCCTTCAATGTATAACAAATTATAATACATATTACTACACAATTATGCTTTTGTGTATGCTGCGTGTTTGGTATGTAGGATTTGTTTCCATGGTTAGGGTAATTAAATAAACCTTCCACACACTACTTGTATCAAAGATAAAAACAAACTGTTGCATGACCAAATCTATTCAGAAAATTTACCTTTTTGAAAGTGAAAAAAATCTTATTCATAATAAAATGGTTATACTTTGGATAAGCAAAGTTTTACAAGGATTTTAAAACAATATTTGATAATCATAATAATCCAAAGAATTATTACTATAGGTCTGTGTTTATCAACAAAACATGAAAATATTCAAAAATACATCAGTTAGGATAAGATACAGGATAATGAAATCAAAACCGTTTCTCTGCGTGGGTTTACAGGTATTTACAACAAGCATGACCATGACAGAAGTGGATAAGCAGCACTTGCACCAGGCACTTCAGCAGCCTGCAACAGTTCGTAGTTCAATTGCATAGTTTCAGCCTAGCTACTTCCAACGCAGAATATTCAGGCAGTCTTGGGATGACAGGTGCCCTGTGAATACCCTCATATACAGATACAGCATAACCTTGCTGACTCAGCTTGTGACCCCCTCTTGTATAGCAAGCTATATCGACATGACATACAAAAATACAAAATATGCCAAATATGCATGGCTACACACTGGTACTTTGATTATTAAGTAAATAGACCCTGCCTTCTTAAACAAAATTCAGGCCAAGAGCAGCACAAGTAACCACAGTTTAGCAAATACACTGAAAGAAAAAGTATGTATTAAATGCTATAATTAATATCAAGGTAGGGTCGTCTACTTGGTTACTATATGAGATATAAGTACATTTTTGTTCAAGTGTTGCTTTTCTTGGCAATAGAGCAATATTTGTGTTTAAGTGAACAAACTTTAGCACTATAGTGCATGATTAGGCATATAGTGATTCCCGAGGTATCCTAGCCAATGCCCACATACCGTGTACAACATAATAACCATGCTGGGATATATAAAACTCCCTTCATGTGATAACAAATACTAATTTCCTTTCTGCCTGTATTATCTTATAATAAATATTAATTATGTTTTTTTGAAATATCAAAAAGCTTTACTTAGTAAAATTCAGTTGATTAGTTAATTTAAAAAAAGGTGCATACCCAAGGCAAGATGTGATGCCATACATGTTTATTATGTTGAATAAGGTAATGTGTGCAGATATACCATGGGCCACACAACTCACTCACACCACATATAGATATTAAAAGAGACATTCTCTTTGACAACCAAACAGTTTAACAAATGAAGAGAGGTAAAACACATTGCAAATATAGCAACCCCATGGTTGGATTGCTCAAGGTCGTATGACACAAGTCTTGTCAAGTATGGCCCACCAGACACTGTACATATGAAAAATGAGATTCGAGGATGTCAAACTCTGCGAGGTAGGACCAAAAGATGGGTGTTGAGGAAAGCACTTGAAATATTGAATTTGAATCATAAAATTATTAAAATAATGCTGTAGACAATGTTTCGTTGCCATATTTGCCTCATTAGCTTACATACTATTCACCTTACAACATCAATCAAAAGCAATTATTTGCTGTATATCAAAAACATATATTGGCTAAAGGGTTACAGAATCAAGCACTGATGCACATTGACAAGCATATAGGTGTTCATGTCAGATCTCGCACTCTGATACGATAAGATCTGAGGAAACTTTAAGAGAAGGTCGTGTCAGGTGAACCAGGGGTAGATTTGACCAATCAATATGATGTTAATCAAATGTATACTGGCAGTATTTGTTTAAATGTTTCAACTTTGGAAGAAAATTATCCCATTGTGACCAACCAATTGAAAAAGATGGACTAGATTTAGGTATTTGTTGATTAACGCTGCACTCAGGAATATTCCAGAGGTCTGTAAATAATCAAGTCTGGACCAGACAATCCAGTGATCGACACTGTGAGCAATGATCCACGCCATCAAAGTACAATGTAATGCAAGCAGCCAAGTCACCAAGCCTGACCACCCGACACATTTGGTCACGGCATGACGACCACACAGGTTCCCGTTGCTCTAATCCGGGGGTATCAGAAGGTGCAATCATTTTATTAAAGTGTCATAGACATTCAAATAAGCACTGGGACTAGAACTCTGGTTCACTTTGTCTAATTGGCACATGTTCAAATAACTTTAAAACTTTGTGACCTACAAATTAAAATAATACTTGGAATCTTTGGTTACTGCAAAAAACACTTAAGAAGAAGCACATATGAATGTCTGGTCCTGAAGGAGCCAACATAACAAGTCACAACCACATAGATCTACAGATATCATCTATCTTTGACAACCAAACCAGGGTAAACACAAGGAACAGATTGGACGTACCGGACTTTAAAATAACTCTTCATCCATATATATACTGGTCAAAAGTAGTTAGGGATCATGAATATATGAAAATTCATTTCCAAAAAATGTCCCCAAATTTATTCATGATCCCTAACTTGTTTTACTCAGTATAGTAAACACTAATAATTATTAGTTCTTTACACTGAGTGTCGGAAAATGATTAATTATCTAAATGATACCAACACTTCAAAACCCTTTTCCAACAGTTCCCATCATGTATACTTTCATTTCATAAAAAATTGTCTCTAAAAACAGTGTGGACCAGATTATCATCTTAACTAAATTTTACCAAAACAATATGAATTTCTTGATGAAAATGAAAATAATATGCATTCGAACCAGTTTGTGACTGGAATTTCATTTCAAGTCTAATTTCCTCCACTGTTTCTGCATAAATAGATTCACAGATTCAGCACATTGTGCTCTAATGTACAACATACCTTCAGTATTTGTGAATAACACAATGTTTTCCTTGTAAGTTGGGGAAATGCAAGCATAGGGGAAGGCCATGCCAGTCTGGAAGCCCTATGACTGCTCTGTGACTTTGGTCTCTATGGCCTCCCAAGGAGGTAATACAAGCTAATGGCGTACTGAACACGCTACACGTGCCCCCTGTACACGCTACACGTGCCCCCTGTACACAATATAACAAGCAGGAATAAATTAATGAAAGAAACTTGTTCTTGTGACAGTAGAACAGGAAAAAGCAAAACTATCTAAAAAATATAACTGCATGGCAGTTCTGAAAAAAGGCATTCAATGATCACATTGTTGTTAAAGTTTGACTAGATAAACATGTGAATGCATTTCAAGAGGCACTGCATGATCTAATACAAGATCAAATTTACATTTAAAGGGTGACTCCACTCCAGATATAAGCCTGTCATGCCATGTTCCTTCTCTGAGAGCATTGACACTAATCCTGTTTGTGATGTTTCAGTGAAGATTCTTATACCGTTCTAAAGCTGGAAAAAGTCCTGCTTGAGAACAGTGAAAGGATCTCCATCAAAATATCCCTTTGGAACAAACTGCTTGTTCTCCATAAAGTTGTATCCTTTCATGTCTACTCATCAACTCCTAGAATGGCACTAAACAAGACTCCTGTTTGAAAATGCACCTTGACACAGTGAGCTGACTGCTTTGATTAAAACTTACTGGTCATAGTGACAACACAATACTGTGAATTATCCACAGTAGTCTTCTTGTCTACAATAGCTTTCAGGCCAAACATTGCAGTGTCACTCTAAACAGTGAAAGGTCATATTTGTCATAGAATGAATCACTTTGCCTGTGGTGAACACGTTTTGTTTTTGACTATTGATCACATCCACCGTTGTTGAAAATATGAAACAAATCATACGCAGCATAGATGATATATAAATATGGGACTGAGTGTATATTTTTGCAAAAGACAGATATAAACATGACTAGCTACAATGGCAATAAATTTTGATTAAACAGGATTTCCTGAAGAAAGAGATCAGTATATATATATATATAAACAGCAAGGAGACAGATAGCGCTACATGGTACAACAAAATGGTCAATATATACAATAACGCCTTCCTCCAGCATGTCATGTGACCATGTGACCATGGTAACAACACAACAGCGGCAGATACAACACATGCATCCAACTGGTAGTTTCAGAGGGGTACACAGGGGGTGCACTCTTGTACTGAATAGGTATCACCCAGAACTAGAGCCACCATGTGTTGCCCCCCACTATGAGTTCTTATCATGAAATTCTGCATCCATACAAAAGATATAAGCACAAGTAGTGTTACATTATTTGGCCGTAGAAGGAAATTTCATTTTTCAAGCCAGTTTTTGATATGTATCGTATCACACCCCACTGCATTGTATATGACAAATGGTTGCCATGGACACAAGACATGATGAACATAGTATTTACAATGTGGACAACTTGACTGGAAGATGAAGATTTCTACACGCTAATGCTACTGGACTTTCATGTGTATATTTGCACTCAAAATAGGACTCCATAATAACCATGTCCTTCTCTAGAGGAAATCATTATTTTGACATCAATCGATGGAATCATTTTTTCTTTGAATTAATCAAAACACATTATTTAAAACTGACATTGTTGGGAATGTTTTACTCAAAACAAAATGCATCTGAGACACTGACGTATTAGACAGACCTTTCAATTTTAAGACTCTTTTACCCTGATACCAAAAGTCCTACCTTGACATCTCAATGCGTTCTACCCTGATATCAAAGTGGCCCACTCTTCTACCAATGTGTTCTACCTTGATATCAAAGTGGCCCACTCTTCTATCAATGTGTTCTACCCTGATATCAAAGTGGCCCACTCTTCTACCAATGTGTTCTACCTTGATATCAAAGTGGCCCACTCTTCTATCAATGTGTTCTACCCTGATATCAAAGTGGCCCACTCTTCTACCAATGTGTTCTACCCTGATATCAAAGTGGCCACTCTACTATCAATGTGTTCTACCCTGACATCAAAGTGGTCCACTCGTCTACCAGTGTGTTCTACCCTGATATCAAAGTGGCCACTCGTCTACCAATGTGTTCTACCCAGACATCAAAGTGGTCCACTCGTCTACCAGTGTGTTCTACCCTGATATCAAAGCAGCCTAGCCTACATGTCACCACTCTGCCCTGATGTCTACATAACCTGCCGCTATATCTACCATGGTATTTATGAAGTCCAGTTTTGTGTGGAGAAATTCAATCCTCATCTCCCTAAAAGGCACTCATCATAGAACTCTATATCCATGACAACTGATGGAATAAAGGCTGTCATGGCAACAAAACAATAAATTAACACATGTTTCTGTAAGGTTTCATCAGTAACATACATATGGTTTTGTGATTTGTATATAGTGACTCAAATTTTCTTTCGATCCATCAATGAATAATCTTGCCCACTAATAATTGCACACTGGTTACCAGAGATATATTTCCTTCCATGAACCAGTTCTAACATCAAAGAGGTCTAAAAGATGTAATCATTCACAATCAGTTATTACAACTGACGTCCTCAGAAAGCACAGACAAAATTTTGTCTGCTTGATGCCTTGATGGAAAACAAAGATGGCCGCCAGTGCCTGCAGGAAGATGTTTGAAGTAATTAACACATCGGCAGTGATCATTGTCGTCCACCATACATTGGGTTCTTGAAAGTTGATGTTGCTTGCTTGTAGATAGGATTCTCGCCCTGAAACACGTAAAATCAGCAATATATACATTGTCTATTTCAGGTACTTTTATATATAAAGGATCAAAAAGGCATTTTATTTGTTATTACTTGGGAATATATCTGCTGATCCTGTAAAATCAGGAATGTGGACAAAATAGACTTTCCAGCATTCATCACTACATGTATGTCAAGGCACTCGGGGAGGGGAGGGGGGGGGGGGGAGAGACGAGGGGAGGCGTTATTTAAATATGCCTACGACAATGACTGTAAAAGAAGTACTATTCCAAAAATATTCGCTTCTGCAGTGATGCAGTCCTCAAATCAGCTGTTTCAATCAGAGGGGGTTCATTGTGATTTGATACCTCTGATTGACCAATAGAGTGCTTTCCAAATTCATGGGAGAATGGAGAGATAATGCATTGGTACATTGAAGACAGAACATGGCTATCTTGGCAGGACTTACTGTGTCCCACTTGGCATTCTGTCGCTCCTTCTCAAACTTGGCAAATTCTCTCCGATCATGAATGATTGTCAACATTTTCCATATCAAGAGCAGAGCGAGACCCACAGCAACAATACCTCCCACAACGCCACCGACAATAGCTAATACATTCACCGACTCGGGGCACACTGAAACAAAGAGATTGAGCCCATGAAGGGAGATAACCCACATATAATATGTGATGATGAAATAATTGTTTCTTGCTTCAAGTGTTTTTCCTTGATATGTTTGCTTGTGGTCGTTTTCACGTTGCAATATTCCAGCTATGTGGTGGTGGCTGGTAAATACTCCAGTCTGAACCAGACAATCCAGTGATTGACACCATGAACAACAGTCCAAATGTTCAGGATTAGTTTGTTTGTTTGTTGTTGTTGTTTTTGTTTGTTTGTTTGTGTGTTCCCATCACAGTAGGATGGCATGGAATCAACCACTTTTATAAAATCCCTGTTTGTTTGTTTGCTTGTTTGTTTGTTTGTGTGTTAAAGTGAGCCATTACAGTTCAGTAATATTTCAATTGCCATGAAACAAAGAGATATAAATATGATAAGACCCTTGTCCCTTCCAATTATTTAAAGCAATTACTCATTTTGTTGAAAAGAGAGTTAAACCCTTACTTTGTTTCCACATCCCTAATTTCTGTACTGACCTTTAGTTCTCTGGACTTTAATGTGTAGTTCTCCGTCTGAGTCGTATTCATATGTGAAATAAAAGTGGCATTCATCCTCATCTCGATACTGGCACTTCCGCACACCATCCGACTCTGTATCAACAGTAAACATCAGGATCAGCATGATCAGCCTTAACATCAACATCAACACCAATCTAAAAATAGTGCCACTGCACTGTAGTTCACTTGGATGTGGAGTCAACCACAACATCAATCTCATCAACATCAACCTAAACATCATCAGCCTTAACACCATCAACATCAACCTAAACATCATAAGCCTTAACATCATCAACATCAACCTAAACCTAAACATCATCATCACCTTTAACACCATCAACATCAACCTAACATCATAAGCCTTAACACCATCAACATCAACCAAAATATCATCAGTCTTAACACCATCAACATCAACCTAAACATCATAAGCCTTAACATCATCAACATCAACCTAAACATCATCATCAGCCTTAACACAATCAACATCAAGCTAAACATCAGCAGCAGCCTTAACACCATCAACATCA